GTTTTTAAAGTAGAAACAAATTGATTACACAGGATACAATTTTCCCAGCTTAATGAAGTAATTCCCACACTTCCTAATTCACGTCCCAAATTTATTTGAGTTTATTTGATTTATTCAAAGTCCAAGGGGGCTTCTTATGAGTCTGCTAACTATGTATATTTAAGTTCCATATTTCTGTGAATAGGTCTTGTTTGTACTTGGCTTTTATCTGATAAATATATCACAGCTTAGCAGCTTCTCCCAGCTGCCTATTAATTGTGTGTCTTACCTCACATCACTCCACAGCCTCAGAGAGAGGAGTCAACAACCTAGGGAGGGACAGACAGCATCCTGCAAAGTAGGATACTTTGTAAGATACCTCTCATTAACTGTTGGAAAAAATGCACTTGTATGGAATTATTTTGGAACAGTAAGAGGAGGCTGCAGCAGACAGAGCTATGTGGCTCCTGGGATGGCCCCTTGGAAATCCCAGGTGTGCAGTCCCCTCTGTCTCCTGCCCAGGTCTTCAACTGAAGATAGTTTGGGAAAGACTCTCAGTTAGAAGTGGGTTTCTCTCATAAGGATTCTCCAGCATTTACTCTGCCATTTCTAATTCACTCCTGGACATCAATTTCTTTTTCCATTTCTCTGGGGTTTGCATCTGTAAAGTTGCTTATCCTGGGCTAAAACTTGGAAGCTGCCATGGGACATGTAAAATCAGCAATTTCATCTAAAATTCCCTCTTTCCTCTTAGTCATTTAGGATTGCTCTTCTCCCTTCCTCCTTTTCCCCACCTTGGATGTCTCCAGTTCCCTATCAAGCACTTCCTGACATTTTTGACTGCTGTTTTCCCATGTCTAGACAAAGCAGCTGCCGTGTCTCCATGCAAAAAGTTAATGGCATTTTGTGATGATTCTTCTGCAAACACATTACAGCTGCAGTAAATGACAGAGGTTGAGGGAATGGTTGTGGGTGCAGTCCCACACCATGCAGTGAGTGATAACACTTGCTGAGTTGGTTGCCCAGCTCATGCACCAGCAGCATCTGTGTGGGTAGATGCTTCTTTTGGAGGAAATCTATGATTCTAATTAATATTAGACCCAGAAAGGGTGATACAGACCAATCTCTGTGTATATAGAGGGGGTCCCAGGTGACATTTGGTACCAGTGGATGTAGGTGAACTGTGACCACCAGTTACTTTGCAGATAAACTTGACAGTGTCCTCTGGGACTGACTGGGCTGTGTGATGGAGGCTGGCTCCAGAACAGGTGAAGGACCCAGAACACACCTGGAGGGAGAGCAGAGAGAATGCAGCAGTGATGAAGCTGCATTAAGAAATCCCCATCGCTGGCTTCAAGGAGGCATCCTCAAATAACAGGAACCCCATCCATGAGGAAGAGAGTCTGACCTTTACTCTGTGCTTCTGCTGGTAAAGACAGAGAGTGCTGCACAATATGAGGAGGAAGAGAAACATAAAAACTTTTCTCCACCTTTTGGCTTATATTGCACACATTTCTCAGCCATCACACAGGGTAATCAAGGTATTTGTGCACAAATTATCTGCCAAGTGTAATTTCAATTTGGGACTTGTGTATTAGGACATGGTGGATATTAAAATGTACAAGGCTGGGTGACAATGGAAGTGTGATATAAATCCAATAAGAAATATATTCTGACACCCTTAAGAATAGCTAATAAATACCATATACTTACAAGACCAGAGACAAGACTGAGAGGTTTTAAAGAAGCTGTAATTTTACCTAGTTCTGCTGTGGCTCCTCAGGAAAGGAAGTTCAGAGGTGCTGGGATCAACATCTCCTGATTGAACTCTGATGAGACAAAAATACCCCAGATATATACCTTGACCCTTCAAAAAAAGCAAATGAATTGATGAAGAGACAAGTGATTTTTAAATCATGTTAGCTTAATTTCTTGCTAAAAAAAAGACAGAGAGGCCCGTGTTGATGTGAAAACTTGGTGATGTCGTTCACAAGTGCTGCCTGTACCTGGAAGAGTCTAACCAGAACAAGTCACTGTGCTGTTGTTCTGCCTGTCAGGCACCTGCATCTTTGCTTTGCCTCTCTGTGCCAGGGTATGGCTATTTCTGAGCCCCCTCAATACTCCTCTGGATAACAACAGAGAAGTGACTGAGGAACAAGTTTTTGAGAGCTGGGGAGCACCCACACAGGTCTTACTGGGCAGAGATGTACTTTATTCTCCTGGCATCCAGCCATCAAACCTGGTTTCCCAAACTCAAACTGGCTACGTGTACCTTTGTATGAGCATCTCCTCCTCCCTGTCCTCTGGCCTTTGCTTGTGCTGCCTGAGATTGTGAGTGCTCAGCCATATATGTGTTTAGACAGCTAGCTTAGGCATTTTCTAACATACTTAACATAGCTTGCAGCTTAGTCTGATATTGTGTGATGACATAACAGAGGTGAGGTGTTCAGTGTAGTAGGACTTGAGTAGGAAATCATAAATAAAAATAGGAACAACGTCCTTATATCCTGGGAGAAATACTTTGTGCCCAGGGTCTTCTCTTTTTCCACACTTATTCCTGTGCATACTGCCTCTCAGTCATGGGCAGGGAGAATTAGCTCCAGGTGGCTAATACTCCTCCCATCTTATCATATAAAGCATAACACAATTAGTGGCATGCCTTCACCCCATCCCAATAAAACTCCTGCACCACCCAAGGTCTGGGACACAATCAGTGAAGACACCAGTTGTGTTTTAGTGAGTGGTGGTACAGTTTTGACAAGTCAAGGTTTTTTTACAATTTTACAGTAAATCAATGGCGGGGGAGGGTCATACATGCTATGTAGCTCTGGTCTCATCATGTATTGAATAGAGATGTTTCTCCAGACATGTCTCTCTTCCTGAGGAAGGGCTTCATGATCCGGCTGTTTCCTCCCTGCTGGCACAGGCATTCCCATGAAGAGGCAGGTGAAAGACTGCTGCTGGAGCCTGACCTCAGCCCCCCTCTCCTTCTCTGCCTAATCTCAGGTCAGTTGCAAAATCTCAGATTTGCAGTGGTGGAGAAGGCTGCAGTGAGCTCTGCTGGGCTTGATGATGCCCAGCCAGAAACTTCTCTGCGTTGAAGTTCCACACTCGAAAAAAAAAAAAATTCTT